TTTTTTAATTATAATTTTTTTTTTTTTTTTTTTTTGAAACGTTGGCGTTAGATTAATATATTTTGATTTTTCGCCCCCTCCCCTCCCTCTCCGTATCTAAAATCGAGTTATTCCAATTATTGTTATAGACTATATTTTATTAAGTTGACATTTAACAACACTCACGAATAATGGACAAGACGGACGCGGCTTTTAATACGTCAGTCATTTTTCCGACGGACCAATAACGATGCGCGATAAACGTTTTAAAATATCGATTTATTACTTATCGGGACGGTTGTTTTTTTATTGTTTTTTTTGTTTTTTTTTTTTTTTTAAACGCCGAGAACTTTTACGTCTTGTTCGATGGAATCAAATAAACAGCGCGCACTGTGAAAATATATGTAACGATCGGTTTTTGCTCTCCGAAAATTCGCATTAAAAAATTATTAAATGCGCGCGCGTAACAAAATACAATGGTTAATGTTGTCGAAATATCGTTTTGTACACGGTTTCAGCGAAGAAAAGAAAAACAAACAGACATATCAAAACAATAATATGTCCGCTCGTCCAGGAGTTGTTTAAAGCGAATATACCGCTAGCATTTTTACTCCCCTCCCTTTAAGACACTATATTATTACATCTCCGTTTGAAGTTCGCCGCCGCCGCCAACCGAATCTCATTTGTATATTTTGACGTTCAAGTTTTTGCATTACACCCGCGCGGTAAGTTTCATATAATAATAATTTTACTTAGCTATGCAAATTTATAACGCAAAGTTTCCAAACTCAAATAATTAGCAATTTACAGGTTATAGGAACATATATATATATATATAATAATGTATATAGGTATATTGCATGAATATTTAAAATTAATTTATGAAAATATACGTTTTGCGGGCCGTGCGACTCGGGAATGGTAATATGTATGGCGGTAGGCGCATACGTATATACCATACGGTAAATAATAACAACGTGTATTATTCAAGCATAATACGTAGTAATATCGCATTATTGTAGTCGTTATACGTTTTAATCGATCGCGAAACACGATAATAGCATTATAGTAAGGAAAACTCATCTATTTTGTATAATAAAAAAAAAAAATGTCGTAGCAATTAGTCTGTCGTACTTCCGAAAAATGGATTTGCCGATAAAATCGCGAAACATGACGAGAATAAAATCTAGAAGAACAGACGGGCGCACTTCGCATGCGGATGCAGCCACTGTTGTAGGCAGGAAGTTGGGACGGCCAGGATACAGACGGGAATTCAACGCACATCCGTAAGCAGCGACGAACCATTGCTGACGAAAAACGATTCTGAGAGGAGTTCAGTTGATATCGTTGCTTTGTCGACAATACAATATATGGTAAAACGATTACAACAATGTGCGTTTCTGTGGCAACAATGATTGTTTAAAAAAAAGTTTGAAATAATAAAAACTTAATAATAACAAAAAATAAATGAAAACGGTTACCAATGATAACCGTTTTTTTAATATTTCAATTTGTTTAACCTAAAGAACCAGGTTTATTAATATCTCGAATATTCTCATTAATAATCGAAAAATTCAAAACTTCAAAAAATTAACCTCTTTGAAGTACCACGCAGAGAAGAATTCCTTTTAGAAAACGTGGTATACTTGATAAACGGAGTAAGCTTTTTAATAGAAAAAATGTTCACATAAAAAACTAATCAACATCACTGTAATACCGATACATTACTCGCTCAGTTCAGAATCTTAAAAATTAAAATTTTTTCTCATCAAATTGCCCGATATTATTAACCAGCGATTTCCAAACTGTGCACCACGGTCCTCTAAAGCTACCACGAGAACTTTTTAACTTTTTCGTGGCTCGTTAAATTGTTCATAATTTAGGTATTGTAAGTTTTTTTTTTTACTTTTTGTTAATTTTAAATCGAATCTTACACAAACAAAATGTATTAAGTCAGCCGTATGCTTAAAGCGTTTATATTGTATTATGGCTTGCAGGGAATAACTATAATAACCAATGAAAATTAATGTTGATTTTTGTACGTATATTTCTCGTAGTATTCACGACAGGACATCGTGGCTGAATTTAGTCCGACAATTTAGTCGGTTTTTGGCACCGAAACCAAAAATTTAGGAACCACTGTTATAAATATTATCAACTCTAACGGTCAAATTTTTATCGTACGAGACGATCGTCCGGAAAAAAAGATACCGAATCTGAATTTCGTATAAGACACGAAATTCGGAAATCGATAGTCATGACGTCACGACAGTCATGTCCCCGTGCATTTCCTTAATGAAATCATACAATTTTTTATTTTCTGTTGCATACTAATCGTGTCTGTCAGAAAATGGCAGACATTTTTAGTATCACATGTATTGAAAGTATTTACTGATGTCAGTGTTCGGTGAAAGTTTCAGGTCCCGGTGTTTTTTTTTTTATTTACTGATAAATAGATAGAAAACAAAGAGCCGATACTTCTAACGGGTGTGCCACTGCAATTGTAGGTGGAACGTAGACAAGGTAGAATACGTAAAGTAGTTTAATTTGCATCTGCACGAAACGATAAATGACAGAAAATAATAAGATTTTAATCGTAGTTCGAGTAAAAAACATCTTGATATGGCACGTGTTTCACCTTTATCGGCGAAATTCTTACGGTTTAAATTGAAATTTTAATCTCTACGATTATTTTTAACCGAATTACGAACACGAAAACGAAATCGAAACTATCGACACCATTATATTGTCGTAAACTTTCCCGTTTTTCGCGATTATTAAGAAAACTCCAAGGAAAATCAAATAACTTGACGTATCATTACTGGATAAAATTTGCTACACGAGAACTTTTATAAAGTTGTTTTATTATCGTTGCATGGCACGATGATATCCGGTAGAAAAGTTATTCACGAAAACAAATCCCCCCCCCCCCCACACATTGACCGTAGTTTACAAAACCAAAGTATAACTATACGAAATTAATGTCGGACGTATGAAAAGGAGAGACCGGTGTAAGATTATCCAATCAAATTCGCCCGAGAGCGTGGAGAACCATACGAGTTTGAAATATAGACACCACCGCGCGGATCGCAGCTAATAATATGCGAGACGGTCGACAAGTCTACGCGAATATTTTATTACAGTCCGCGACGGGGGAAAAAATAACCCCCGAACAAACGACGCGCATCCGACTGTCGGAGAGAAAAAAAAATGTGCGTATGTTTGTGTTATCCGACAGTTTACTGCCGTATTTTATTTTTGTACTATTACCGTCGTCGTCGTTCGGGGGGGG